GGGGACAGGTGAGGAAGGGGGCGAGGCTGGCAGGTGAGGGGGACAGGTGAGGGAGGCAGGTGAGGCTGGCAGGTAAGGAGGCAGGTGGACTTGTAAATAAGTGCTTGAGCTTTAACATCAAGAGGTCACCAGCAGATGAGGCTGAAAACACCCAAACTGGGAGAGCCAGAACCAAGACCTTGAATAAAAGTGCAACTGTTCGTTGTTGAGCCTCAAAGACAGCATGAACTCCATCTGTATGAGGAGAGATGAGGACGTTCAGATGCCTCTGCCCGGATTTAGGATGAGGGGAAAAATAATCTGTATGAGCAAAAAAAATCACTTGGAGCTGTGATCAGGCGTTAAGGCTTATCTTATCAACATGGTCTAGTGATGCCTTTGTGATGTTTGACATTAGCAAATCCAATCCCACCCCGGAGGGACCCTCCCTCCCCATCTAGAGGACCCTCAAAGGAAATACAAACCTATGATGAAGACAAGTTAACAACCCAGGATCTTTGAAGGCTCTTCCTGCCATAAGCAGGTCAGAGCACATGAGAGCTTATGGGAGGGACGTACAGCTTACAGGGGAACACAAGTGCGGTTAACATCATGGGACTATGTGAATGGGCAGAAGCCCAGGGAAGAATGGACCTATGCCCTCACACCCTAGGCTCCTGTATCCAATTGCCTCAACCCTCTACCTCAGGGTCTGATGGGCATATCACACTGCTGACCTCCTATCTCCCCCAGCACACACCCCTCCCAGGGCCCATCTCAGGAGGTGACAAGACCATTCTCCAGCAACTCAGGTCCAGATCCCTGGGGTCATCCTTAACCCTTTTCCATCTCATAGTTCACAAGCAACCTCATTCATGATTAAGCAGGAAAATGTAAAATGCCTTACAAGTGGAAGAGAATTTCCTGATCCTATAAGCCTTCTTAAGCAATGTCCTTATTTTTAAACTGTGGATTGTCATGCATTTTAGCATTGTGAGATCATTTTTGGTGAAAATATTAATGAATAGAACAGCATGGGATAGGATAGGATAGGATGGGATAGGATAGGATGGGATGGGATAGGATAGGACAGGGTAGACTAGGCCAGGCTAGGGTAGGATGGGATAGGATAGGGTAGGGTAGGATAAGGTAGGGTAGGGTGGGATAAGGTAGGGTAGGGTAGGGTAGGGTAGAATGGGATAGGGTCGGCTACGCTAGGATAGGCTAGCATAGAATGGGATAGGATAGAATAGGATAAGATAAGATTGGATAAAACAAAATAGGATAGGACAGGATAGGATGGTGCAGAGTAGGATAGGGTAGGGTAGGATGGGGTAGAATACAATAGGATAGGATAGGTTTGGGTAGGATAATGTAAGATAGTATAGAGTAGGGTAGGGTAGTAGATGGTAGGATAGAAAAGGATAGGGTAAGGTAGGGCAGAGCAGAATAGAAGAGGATAAAAAATGTCAGAAGGAATCATGGTGTCAGAAGTAAGTTAGAGTGGTGTCTGTTTCCGTTGTACGTGTGTTCACACACGTGTATGGTTACTGGTCACAGAATTGAGAGTTGTGTGTGTATACACATGTGTGCATACGCATGGGTCATGAAAGCCACCGTGCACATATGGCAAACATTGGACTGTAGAGAGACACACCAACAACGGCAATCCTGAAGTCGGAAACAGGACAAGGATGCGCATTTGTATTCAAACACTGGGCTGGAGATCCTGACCAGCCCAGGAACACGAGAAGAAATCAACATTACAAGGACTAGAAAGGAAGAAATACAAACCATCGTTATTCATAGTTGTGACTGGCACAGAGAAAACTCCAGAGAACAGAGACCAACTCAGAGTATAAATGAGAGACCTCTGTACAGCTTCTTGTTCCAAGGTTCATCCCTCAAAATGGCAGTATGCCTTTAGTCCAGTGACAAACAATAACCACACACAACAATTCTTAAAATATCATTTACGACAGGAAACAAATACAAGGTATTGAGAGTACATCCCACAAAAGATGTGCTAGACGTTCACACAGATGACTAACTTCTGTTGGTAAACATGAAAGTGATCCTAAATAACTAGAGAAGAAAGATGGAATGTCATAAAAATTATCAGTCTTTCCCAAATTAATCTATAAAGTAAAGGCAACTTCAGTAATTTTTCATGGACCTTAATGAACCTCTTATGTGACTTCTGTGGAGGAATAAAGAGTGGGAAGAGTCAAGAACATTTTGAGAAGAGAAAGGGCACAAGGTTGGGAATGGCTCTTTCCTGGATGCAGAGACCAATGTTGCAGTCACTGTGTGGGGTGGCATGGAGGACAGAGCTCAGGAACAAACCCACCTGTCACTGGAAGGTGGCACAGGACAGAAGCACCTCTACAGACCAGCTGGGTAGGAAGTGTCTCGTCACGGTGCTGAGAGAGAAGATGATGGAGTTCCAACAACACATGACTGCTTCCCTTCAACTGCTGGAACCTTTCAGAAGACAGAATTCCAGCACCTCTTTCCTCTTCTAACTTCTGAACACATGGAGATGGAAATCAAACTATGGAATCCAGCTTTTTAAAAAGATTACAACAGCACCTTTGTTATCAGTAAGGGCTAACATGCAAGATGTGGGCTAAAGTCAGGACAAACAGCTCTGCTTCTGCATCTAGGCATGGACAGGCCTCCTATCCAGTTGCAGTGACCTCCTGACGGGGCAGGCCTCCCTCCGGTTGGGGATGGGTGTGCAGGGGAGGAGCACTGAGTGTGCAGGGAGTAACTCAGTAGAGCCAGAAGGAAGTTGCTCAACTGGGGTATTTCGCAGACTTGCCAATCAGATACACCCTTCCTCTCTCTGCGGTGGACGATGTCAAGGGCGGAAAGGGCAGAAAGAGATCAGAGGATCACTAAACGGAGTTTTCTCCAGTGGGCAGAACTCATCAGTCTGGAGGAGGCATGATGAGTTTCTGGTGACAACTCACTTCCTCACATGGCCTTTCCTTGGTGTGTGTGCATGAATGGAGGAAAGAAGGGAGCAAGAGAGGGAGGGAGGAAGGGAGACAGTGCTCAGTGTCTCTTTTTGTTGACACTAAACTACCATCAGGCCCCACCCCATGACCTCATTTAACCTTAATTACTTCCTTAGTGCCCCCATCTCCAAATATAGCCAAACTGAGTGTTAGGGTTTCAACATATGAATTTGGGGGAACATATATAGTCCACTGTATAGACTGAATGATTGTATTCCCCCCAAGATTCATATGCTCAAATCTAATTCCCAAAGTGATAGTGTTTGGAGGTAGCACCTTTGGGAGGTGAGTAAGTCATGAGGGTAGAGCCCTCATGGATGGGATTAGTGCCAGGATAAAAGAGACCCCAGAGACCTCCCTTGCTTCTTTCACCAAGTGAGGACACAGAAGACGTTCATCAGTGAACCTGGACGAGTGTTCTTATCAGACACCAAATCTGCCAGCACCTTGATCTTGGACTTCTAGCCCCCAGCATGGTGAGAAATGTATGCCTATTGTTTATAAGTCTCCCCATGTGTGGTGTTCTGTTAGAGCAGCCTGCATGGACTGTGACACTGTGGTCATCAAACAGCTCATATCAGATCAGTATAAAACTGCTACAAATCAAGAAGGAGACAAACCACCCAATGGAAAGGGGGATACCTGTGACCCAGCTGTCCCACACCAGGAGTAAGATCTCAGAAGTTCTCAGAAGTTTCTCACTGAGAAGTCATCTGTGGTAGTGGGCTTTGGAAACAAACTAGTTGTCCATCATGAGAGGAAAGGATGCATAAATAATGGTGGAAATCCCCAGTTGCAGGCAATGGACCGGACAGTGAGAGATCTTGAACACTGACACCCCAGGAGGCAAATAGGAAGAAACAAAAGGACATTTATAGCACATGATCAAAGAATGATGTGTACTTTGCAAAGATTCATGCATATTTAATAACAAATATCAAAATCAGTTGGTGGCTGGCTGTTAGATGGAAAGAAGTTAAGTCTTCGCAGAGACATAATTGGAGGTAAAATCAACAAAATCTGAAGGTGTGTCAAGTGTGTGGGATAAAAGGGATAAAGGGATCAAGGGTAACTTCCAGGTTTCTGAATGAGCCATTGGTTGAGTTATCATTTCCCAACATGGAACGCCCTGGAAAAAGAGCAGGTGGTGGACATCCCATGGGGATGAGTTAGAAGGACACGATGAGATGTTGAAATGTCTTCTGTCTGGGAGTCATCCATGTGGCAATTCACACGAGCCATTGAAGACATTGGAATTCCAGAGCCAGACAGAATGGTCTGGAGTGGAGATGTGGATTTGGGGATGGTGGGCTTCTAGGTACATGGGGTCACCCAAGGAGGGGTGTGGAATGAGTATCTCATCAGAACTGGCATGGAAGACCCTGGGAAAATGCTTGCCTCCCTGATCTGGAAGCTATTTGACAATGAGCCTTCTGATGAAAACCCACATGGGTCAGACCCTGGGGCCCCCACTCAATGCCGTCCTCAACTCCCATGTTCTGGGTACGGCCTCCTTGGAGTCAGCCCTCTGCCTACAATGGCTTGTTTCTGGATGACATCTGTCCCACCTGCCTTTTCCCTTTGCTTCCCTGTCCCATGGATCTCCCGCTGAGCCTGCAGCAAGAATGTAAAGAGAACATTTAAAGTAAAAAGGCTCTGTCTCTCGATGAGCTGTGTCCAATGATGAGCCGTTATCTGATCTCTCTGAGCCTGTAGAATGGAGATTACAGTATAAGGTTATTATAATAGTCTCCCAAGCCCAGTGAATTTAAGCAAAGGCTTCTGAAATCTGTTTATGCCCTTAGCCTGGGAAAGAGCTTTGTAGAATGCTAATATGTAGGGCTATTATTATTTTTATTCCTGTGTTTTTGGAATTCTGATCTTCTTTTTTCACTCGTTTTTAAAACTTATTCTTTCCCCTTGTTTTGTAGAGGTGAGGAATGCTCTGTACTTATGTAATTCTACTATAGTTTTTCTAGCGTCTGTCATCTTTGGGGGATCCCACCAATTGTGTGACTATCAAAGTATTCTCCAGAGGACCCAGGAGGATCTTAAGTGGGTGTGGGGTTAGAGCTGTCTGGGTCTGAGACAGTGTCCAGAACTGGGGAGCATGCAACATTATGTTCGGCATCTGACTGGGTGATGCCTTGGGAAGGAGGCCACGCATTCCACTGTGGTGTTTTGCTTGGAACTAGTCCTTCAAGGACTAGAGTCTCATTAACATGTAGTGGCTGAAGTGGCCTCTGAGCTGGGATGGTTGATGAGGATGAAGTTTCAGGTCCCTCTTGGCTGCCTCTTTCCACCCAAGTTCCTTGTCATACCCTTGACCGTGGTTCAGGGCTGCCATGACTGGGGATCCAGCAAGGGGAAGTTGCATTGGGAAAATCTATAGTTCCTTCCAATGACCAGATCCTACAGAGAACTCACTTTCCCATATTATTTAGTTATTGCTAAAATATTAGTTTGCTAAGGCTGCCGTAACAAAGTATCACAAACTGAGTGACGTGAGACACAGAAATCAATTTTTTCCCAGCCCTGGGAGCTGGAGGTCCAAGATCCAGGTATCCTCAGGGCTAGTTCCTCTTGAAGACTTCTTCCCTGGCATGTGGACAGCTGTCCTCTCCCTGTGTCCTCACATGGTCATCCTTCTGTGCATGTCTGTGTCTTGATTTCGTCTTCTTGTAAGAACCAAGTTATATCGGATTAAGACCCACCCTAATGACCTCATTTTACCTTAATCACCTCTGTAAAGAGCCTCTACCCTAATGACTTCAACACATGAATTCATCCCATAACAGTTAGTGTCCTCACCAAACAAGGGCTCCCAGAATCTTCCAACTGCTACTGGGCCAACGCAACTCCCAGGGAGCTGTCACAGGGGACACCAGGCCAGAACTGAGTCAGGTGGTCGCATAATAGAACTATATGATTGGTCTAGTTTTGTGACATTTGTTGCATTTTTCAGCTTCTTTAATTTTGTGATTTTTCATGACCAAGTTTCTTATTCTAAATAAATATGCATGATCCATCATACTTTTTCCTAAAGAGGGTATTGAAAATTGAACAAGTTCCCGGCTTTGACAAACCTATATCTGCCCCCACTGTTGGCTGTTCCTCTGCCTACAACTGGCTCCCCCGAGATGTTTTCAGGGTGAAGGTTTGAAGAGAAAAATAAAACATACTCTTCCTGTGAAAGCAATTTCCCCCACAACCTGGCACAGAGTAAATGCCTGGTAAGTATGAGCTTCTTATGTTTGTTATCCCATGACAAGTCTTAGGAACAGAGAGTTTACCTGCCAGGTGAACCAGGAAGCACAGGTGGAGAAATGGAAAGCTGGGGAGGAAAAAAGTCAGAGAAAGTGTGTGGTGATGAATGGCTTCTCCTGTAGGGCTCCATTCTCCAGAGGGGCCTCTGGGAATCCACATGGATCTTGACTGAGGACCATACCACAGATGTGTACTGACTCAGCAGCCATGGATTGAGAGTTACTCCTGGGGGTAAAATGGCCCCTTGCTCCTGTTCCCTGGACACTATCCATGGCTAGACTGAGGCTGCAGGGTAGGGTGACAAGAGCACCTGCTGTGATCAGCTCCCTCATTCATGGATCAGCCTCATATCCAGCTCAAGAGAGCTGAGGGTGAAAAGTTTGGTTCACTGACTTACTTGACATTACCCTCAGAAACCCATGTATCTCAGAAGCCTACTTCAGACCCAGGAATTCTATTAAGGAATCTGTTTATGTCAGGGGTCAGCAACTTTTTCTGAAGGGAGCAAGATGGTAAATATTTTAGGTTTTGTAAGCCAAGTGGTCTCTGTGGCAATGACTCAGCTCACCATTTTAGCATGAAAGCAGCCACATGTGATTCAGAAATGAATGGATGTGACTGTGTTTCAATAAAACTTTATTTACACAAATTGGGAGAGGGCCGGATTTATCCTGTGAGCCACAGGTGTCAGCCTGTGGTTTACATATTTATCACACACGCCATCACAGGGTAGTGAATGCCAAACAATGATCTGTTCTCCACCTTGGATTTTCCTGTTTTAGGTTCTTCAAGTTTTAGGCAGTTTGGTGATTTGGTGAACAGTCAACTCATGTTTATTTATTTCAGAGCCTACCCAGGAAATACACCCAGAAAACATTAGACTTACCTTATGGTGCCTCCTCTTAAGACACAACAAATTCATTTTGAAAGAAAAACAGAACAAAAACAAAAACAAGGAAACAAATAAACTTTATTAAGGCTCTTGGTACATGAGAATGTTCACCAGCTTCTGTGGTTGCTCTGGGCCCATGATGGCCCGTCATGTTCCTGTTCTTTTTCTCTCTGGGTCTCATTCTCTGTGCCACCTCTTAAAAGGGGACAAGGACAAGGAGAAGCCAGCTGGCTGTGCTTACATCACAATGTTGTTCTCAGCATAAAGCATCCAGTTCTCCCCACACTTGCTCCAA